TATAGTCCGGAATTTACGGTACTAAAAAAAGAAAGCAAACTGATTAGGATATGTATAAAGCCTATATCTGACTTTGTAATGTTTTTTTTTAGGATTATCACTATCATTAGGCAGTTTTGTAATTATTATGGTTATTTACATAAAAATCTATCTAAACTGCAAATTGATGTGTATGTAATGCTCAAACTAAAAAGGGCAACTGGTGACAAAATAGGAACTGAAAACACCCCTGAAAGTCCTATTATACTGTGTATTTTTAGGCTCTGACAGGATCAGAGGTATCATGTCATTTCGCCCTCTGATGGAGAGGAGAGGAGGGAAGCCTGCCCTTGTGTGTCATGTTGGTACATGAGCTAATCCTCATTCCTTTTGGCTGCCAAAAGCGTACGGCTGTTTAGTGACAGCAGGATGAAAATGGATCGAGTTTATTAACAGAAGCTGCGATGTCCATCTCCACTGGTTTGCTAAAGACTGTCACAGTGAATGAATGTGTCTTATATGAATACATCACTGCATATTGGATGAATTTGCTCCCTACAGTCAAATGAGCTCAGAGTCTGAGGTTTTTTTCCTCCCTTCATATGTCCTGCCTCTCATCTCTCATTTGTCTTTGCTCTCTGCGTTAATGTCTTCCCTATTACTGCTGATTTGACTTGTCTCCTTGTGAATACCTAATCACTCTGAAGATTTCTCACTTTCATTCCTAAAAAAGTTTATTCGCTTTTCTTTAGTTACTTTCTTGGCTTTGTAACAATTATTTATCACTGTAAGGGTAATGTATAATATATTTATGAACCCTGTGTTTAGCATGATATTTGTCTCCCCAGACAGGCACAGACAAATGGTATTTATTCCCGTTTCCGTCAGCACATTATTATATTTTATTAGTTTTTATTTCTATTCTTAGGTTTTTATTATTGCTTTTAATACTTTTCAAGCACTGTTCTGTGGCAGCTGCTACAATACATTATGCAGATATATATAACAAATATAAAACTATATGGATTTATGTGAAAATATGTTTTATGATATTTGTTAGTGCTAAAATGCAGTTTCTAACAAATGTTTTACCTCTTCCTCCAAGGCTGAACTGAAGATCTAGTCACGAGTGTTCTGCATTAAAAAAGCCCCTCTGCTGCTTCAGAATAAGGTAGGACAAACAATAGTGTCTTTGCCAACAGCACACAGCAAAATGTGAAATGTTTCAGCTTTGTCCTTGCTCAGGCTTTTGTTTATAGCATTTAGATTTTTCAGCTTGTGTGCCTAAACTGAACTTGGTTTATAAGTCTATACTACCCTGTTTTTATTTTGTCGATCAATTTTGAAATAAATCTTAAAATGTGTCTTTCCTACATGGTATTCCAATACTTATGGTCCCCAGCCATTGAAATCACAGCTATACCCTCCTTTTTTAAACCAGTAGCAGCTTTTTAAAATGGATGTCTGTGATTTCAAAGAAGCATTGCTTATGAGCTGCACCCTTGTGTGACAGCAAGTCAATGTGTGTGCAGCTTTGTGTTTCTCACTTTCTGCAGACACACTGGTCGTGCTAATAATCTCATTTTCAAAGCTGCAGATTTTATAGATGACTAACGAGATGACATTTCTCTGAATACTGGTTCTCTTACTGGTATTCCACTGGTTGTTCACACATCTGCTTGATGCCAAACTGACAATATTTTTTTCTGTGTCATTGCTGGAAATATTTCATTGCACTCCACAGCTCTTGTAAAAACATATTTTAAACCTGTACAGAGCAGAGACACCAATCGATCCAATGTGCTGCAGTATGTAACAACACCATTATGGTAGCTTTTATCAAAAAGTGAGAAGTATTTCCTCATTGTCATAGCTTTTTGCAGTGGTTAGTGAGAGCAACTAAAAGACATTGATTTGGCCTGTCTTTTTAGTTGACAAAGACTCCTGGATAGGTGCAGAAATGTTTTCAGAAAAAATGAGTGAAAGACCAGTTACCTTTGATTAAAGCCTGTCAAATGGATGCCACAAACCAGATGTCTGAGAATTTGCACATGAATAAAATACTATAAATATACGGTACATATAATAAACTACTATTTTTATTAGCTTGATATTAAACATCTAAACCTATCCATTTATGTAATTAAAATAAAAAAATACAATTTTGTAAAAATTTTATTTGCTATAAATTGATCAAAGTAACATGCATACCTTACCAAAAGTAATGGGTCACTCTCTTTTAGAGCTAAAAGTAATAAAAAAAAGCTCATTAAAGAGCATTTTAACTGTTATTGGAATTAAAACACGGTGTAAAATAGAGCCCATCCGAATAATCAGTACATATTAAACTACACTTTGTCAAGGATCAGAAGAGAGGACCCAGAATTCAGGCAAGACGGAC